CCCTACACGCAGTCATCTGAAGAACACACTACATTAGAGGGCCCTTGCTAAGGGTCCTGGAACTCATGTTAGTAGAGATTATCTGACAAACTCTAGTAGAGCTAGGCTGATCTATTTGCCCATTCAATTAGCTCACTTTCAGGAGGTAAACATTTTCCTAATCTTGCACCATACTCTTGTGGGTACACCTGTTCTATTTGGGACCTGGCCCCTCTACAAATGAACCATACAGTTTAGGGGACATTTGCATAACTTATACTATAAGTGCTATGAATTCAGAAGAAAGCTCTGTTACTACAGGTCAGAACCCAGCACTGAAAGAGCAGTGGAAGTGAGAAGGTGAATACAAAGATTCCTTCAGGTTTAAAATAGAGACCAGGACAGGGCTCAAAGGCAGAGAGACAATGCAAACCAGGCAGGACAGGACTCTGAACTCCTTAGCGGACCAAAGGGTGATGTGTCCCAAGCAAGATCCTACAAAACAAAGCCTGCGAGACCCGGCCTCGGTATGTACCTCCTTCCCTACCCATGGTTCCAACCGGCCCCTTTCCCGGTCTTCCCGGAATCTCCAGCCGGTTGATCCCCTGGCCAACCACCAGCCGCAGTTCATGACACATCTTGCACTCCTTCCCCAGTTCTGCCCCGTTCGTCCGCGGCCCTAATGGCCGCTTCCCTCTCCAAGGCTACGGGCCCGGTCCCCTAAAGCAAGGCTGCCATGGTAACCACCCTCTTCTCCACCCCATCCAATGTGGGTCTCCAGCCCCAGTAGGTCTCCCGCCTCCGTCCGCCCCCGCCCAGGCCCCCCTCCACTTACCAGATCTCCACCCCCCATGATGGTGGAGTCGTGTCCTCGCTACGCTGGCCTGGAAGACTCAGGGAGAATCCAGAGGAATCGGAGAAAAATAGTTCAGGGACGACCTCGCGGGATCTGGCCCGGGAGCCACCAGCTGCCACTTTCACCGCCCGATCCGGAGGCCACTTCCGGGATAGCGTCATATTACTGAGTTGGCGTCGCGGAACGATGACGTGTGATACTGCCTGTCGCGCCCTGTGGCATCACGTGCCGCTTCCGCTGACTTTTAGGCCTTTTCGTAGCAGCCGCTCTTGTCTTATTTTGGCCGTGTCGGTACGCCGACTCGTCTATTTTTCTTTTTTTGCCTACCCTTTGGTTAAAATGCCACAGCTCTGTTACCTTAGGGCTGCAGTGGGCTCCTCCCGCGGGCCTGCGGCCATGGCAAGGCACTGGCTGTCCCGCTGGAAGCTAGACCCTAGGGTGGATCCGTCTAAGCAAGCCATCTCTCCAGGCACCCACCTCCGCACCCCGGTGTTCCAAAACGGCTTGTCAGAACGATTCTCTTCAGACCGCGACTTGCGGCCACCTTCCTTACCCCAGACCCTTTGTATGGAAATAAATAAGAACCACGAAACCAAAGTTTCTTCTGCTTCTCTGCCCAAGGCTCTGGGCTCTGCCAGCTGCCCACTTCCCTGGTCCTCCGCTACTTAGCCCCTATCTAAGGCCCAGCAGTTCTACGGGTTTCTTTTCTCACAATGCACATTAACCCACGCCTTCCTCTCTCCAGTACTCACTCAGTACTGGCTCTTTGTCAACAGCATTTTAGATATGCCCAGTGATCCTTTCAAAATACCATGTCTTGGGACTAGCAGCTGGCATAATGGTTAGGATGCTGGAATTTCACATGACTGACCAGAATTCGAACCTCAGACCAGTGACTTGAAACTCGTGGCCCAAGATCCTGGGGATTGAAGGGACTGTAGCATAGCCATCCCATCAAGGGGGTGATTTCTCACTTTGTCTCTCTCCGGCCAGCGCATGCACCCTATAGCAAAAATCTCCACAAAAAAAATCGGTGGGCAGGTGGGGTGGTGGTTAAAGCACAGGACAGCCACATGGCCAACCTGGTTCAGAAGACCTGGCGGCTTGCTTTCTCACTTTATCTGGTGAGCACATATGCCCTGTATCAAAAACAAAAAACAAAATACAAAACTTTTTTTTTTTTTTGAGATTTGTTTGCTATAGGGCGCTTCCACTTGAAGGACACTGCGAGCAATCACTCCCTTGGGTGGTGGCTACAGATTGCAATCCTCATTTTCCTTCAGAATTTTTGGCACATGTGTGCTTGCACCAGAGTTCATGCACCAGCAGTTGGCATAGTGGCTATGTCGCTGGACTCCCATGTAGTCTATCACAGTTTGAGTCCTGGACCCAGTGGCTTAAACTCACGCTGGGTGCATGTGAGCCCAAGATCCTAAGAGGAAGACAGAAGAGAAGGGAGTGTGGCCATCCCCCCCAGGGTTGATTTCTTGCTTTCTGTCTCTCTGACTCTGTCTTTCTGAGGGGAAGGGAAAAACAAAAACAAAATAAAACAAAAAACGCTCTAAATAAATAAACATTTTAAAGGATACATGTTGGGGACCAGCAGGTGGTATGGTGGTTAAGAAGCCACACACTTCCACATACATGGTTGACAACGGTTCAAGTCCCAAACCTAGCAGTTTGCTTTCTCACTTTCTTTCTCTGTATCTCTCTGGTCATATTAAAATAAAATGAATAGGGACCAGCAGTTAGTGTAATGGCTGTGTCGCTGGACTCCCATGTAGTCGACCCCAGTTTGAGTCCCGGACCCAGTGGCTTAAACTCATGCCAAGCACATGTGCATGCATGCCCTAGATCCCAAGAGGAGAATGGAAGAGAAGGGATTGCAGCGTGCCCACCTGTGGCATGGCAGTTAAGGTGGCTGGATCCGACATGACTACGAGATTCCAGTTCCCAATTGCGGTAGCCAGGCACCTGTGCATGTGTGCCCAAAATCTAGAGAGGAAAATGGAGAAGGGACTGTGGTGTAACAATAGGGGGTGCTTTTTCATTTTCCCTCTGCTGTCTCTCTCCAAGGGGCACATGTGCCCTGTAACAAATTTCAGAATATAATAATAATAAAATAAATACATAAATGAAATGACCATGTCTTTTGCCCCAACTGTTGCACTCTGTTCTCCCTCCAAAACCAAATGAGAAACCAGTTGTCTCCACTCAGGCCCTGCTTCCACTTTACACTTTGCTTAAACTCATCCCTCCACTCAACTCATCTTCCCAAGATCTTCAGTAATCTCCTGTGTTTAAATGAAATGGGGGGGTTGGCAGGTGGCGTGGTGGTTAAGTGCACTGGACTCTCACATGACACAGTTCAAATCCCAGAACTGGCGGCTTGCTTTCTCACTTATCCTTTTCTCTCTCTCTCTCTCTCTCTCTGCTCCTCTTTGGTCAAATTTAAATAAATAAATAAATAAATAAATAAAAGTTAAATAAAATACTTTTTTTTGGGGGGGAGAGGTTTTGCTATAGGGCATGTGCGCTCACCAGAAAAACAGAGAGAGACAGAGAGACAGAAAGTGAGAAATCATCCCCCGGGGGGAGGGCCACATCACAATCCCTTCTTCTCCATTCTCCTCTCGGGATCTCAGGCACTCACGCACACACACCTGGCATGAATTTAAGCCACCAGGTCCGGGACTTGAACTGGTGGTCAATTACATGGGAGTCTAGCAACATAGCCATTATGCCAACTGCTGGTTCAAAAATTTAAATGAAATAATTCTTAAAATTTTTTAAAGATAAATAAAATGGATGCATTTCATCCTCCTCCTGACTAGTAGACTTTGCTATTGAAGATAGCTCTCTCCTTCCTGAGACACCTTTCTCTCGAGTACTCCCCACCAAACTCCGGATTTTCTTTTCTGCATCCTTCTCAGGGAAATTTTTTTCTTTCTTTAACTGCTTAGGTTCTATCTTAGGTCTTCTCATATATGTTCTTTATGTAATCGGAACTACTCGTATTTTTTTTAGGAATTATTTTATTGGGGGACCAGCAGCTGGTATAATGGCTATGCCACTGGACTCCCATGTAGTCCGCCATGGTTTGAGTCCCGGACCCAGTGGCTTAAACTCACACTGGGCATGTGTGCGTGCATGGCCAAGATCCTGAGAGGAGAATGAAGGAGAAGGGATTGCAGTGTGGCCGTCCCTCCTGGGGGGTGATTTCTCGCTTTTTGTCTCTCTGTCTCTCTCTTTCTGGCAAGCACACATGCCCTGTAGCATAAACCTCTCCCCCAAAATAATTATTATTATTTTATTTAACTTTATTTATTTTAAATTGACCAGAGAGGGACAAGAGTGTGAGAGAGAGAGAGAGTGAAAGTGTGAAAGCAAGCTGCCAGGTCTGGGACTTGAACCATGGTTGACCATGTGGGAGTCCAGCACTCTTAACCACCACGCCACCTGCTGGACCACCACAGTCTTAATTACCACCTAGATGTTAATGAATTATAATTCCATAATCTCCCACCATAACCCTTTTTCAAGGGCAAGTGGTTGCTTTTTTAGATTTTTTAAAGGATTATTTATTTAATTTAACTTATTATTATTTTAATTTGCTATTAAGCACATGTGCTCACCAGAGAGTAATAAAGAGAAGGAAAGTGAGAAAGCAAGCCACCAGATCTAGGACTTGAACTGCTGTCAGCCATGTGGGAGTCCAGCACCTTAACCACCACGCCACCTGCTGGCCCATTTTTTAGATTTTTCCACAGGGTGTGCGCACTGTCAGAGACAGAGAAAAAGAGAGGGAAAATGAGAAATTACTGCCCAGGGGGATGGGCACACCACAATACCTTCTTCTCCAGTCTCCTCTCAAGATTTTGGATATTGATAAACACACACCTGGCTTGAGTTTGAAGTTGAGGGATCTAGGACTCGGACCACAGTCAGCAGGGATTCCAGTGCCTTAACCACTGTGCTCCCTGCCAGCCCCAGCAACAAGATTTTATTTTATTTTTTTAAGATTTATTTGGGGCCCAGCAGGTGGTGTGATGGTTAAAGGCACTGGATTCACATAGGACCGACCACGGTTTGAGTACCAGACCTGGTGCCTTTCTTTCTCCCTTTCTCTCTCTGTCTGTCTCTCACTGGTCAAATTTCAAAAGTAATAATAAATGAGACCCTTAACCACCAATAACCAATTGGTGTAATGGCTATGTCGCTGGACTCCCATGTAGTCGACCACAGTTCAAGTTCCGGACCCAGTGACTTAAAACTCATGCCAGGCACGTGTGAGTGCGTGCCCAAGATCCTGAGAGGAGAAATGAGGAGGAGGGATTGCAGCATGGCTATCCCCCCTGGGGGGTGATTTCTCCCTTTCTGTCTCTGTCTCTCTCTGTCTGTCTGCCGAGCACGTGCGCCCTATAGCAAAAACCTCTAAAAAAGAACACATGCATCCTATAGCAAAAACCTCTAAAAAAAATAATAATAACAACAATAAATGGAAATAAATAATTCTTTTTTTAAAATAAAAAAAGATTTATTTGGGGGTCAGCAGGTGGCGTGATGACTAAGGACTCTGAACTCTCACATGACCAACTATGTTTCAAGTCCTGGACCTGGCAACTTGCTTTCTCACTTTCCCTCCCCTACTCCTCTCTCTTTCACTCTGTCCCTCTCTGGTCAAATTTAAATAAGTAAATAAAATAAAATAAAATAATTCTTTTATTTTGGAGAGAAGTTTTTGCTATAGAGCGCGTGTGCTCACCAGATAGAGAGAGATAGAGAGACAGAAAGTGAGAAATCCCCTCCTGGAGGGGATGGCCATGCCACAATCCCTTTTCCTCTAGGGATCTTGGGTACACATGTACATGCACCCAGCATGAGTTTAAGCCACCAGGTCCAGGAATTGAACCGTGGTTGACTACATGGAAGTCCAGTGACATAGTCATTATGCCCACTGCTGGTCCCAATAAAATAATTCTTAAAAATAATATTTATTTGGGGCCAGGAGGTGGTATGGTGGGTGAGGTGCTGAATTCTACATGGCAGTTAAGGCACCGTATTCCCACATGGCTAGCTGTGGAAGTCCTTTACCCAGTAGCCTGAAAACCACACCAGGTACATGTATATTTGTGCATGCCCCAAATCCCAAGAGGAGGATAGAGGAGAAGGGATTGCAATGTGGCCATCCCCCTTAGGGTATGATTTCTCACTTGCCTCTCCCCCACCCCCTGCCACCAGCAGGTGCATGAGTCCTATGACAAAAATCCTAAAAACAAAAAAGAAAAAGAAAAGGAAAAAGAACTAGAAGGTACAATGAAAAGACAAATGAACAGTAGGATAGGAAATATATTCCAAAATAAGCAAATGATGAAGAAATTGTCAAAAAATAATAAAAACTTAAAATGAGATTTGAATCTCTAGATTGAAAAGCATCACCATGTACATCAATGAAAATTTTAGAACATAAGGAACAGAGAACCTAAGAACTTATTGATGGGGCCAGCAGGTGGCGTGGTGGTTAAGGGTGCTGGACTCCCAAATGGCCAACTGCAGTTCAAGTCCCGGACCTGGCAACTTGCTTTCTCCCTTTCTCTCTCTCTCTCTAAATCTGTCCCTCTCTGGTCAAATTAAAAAATAAACAAAGTTAAATAAAATAATTCTTAAATTAATTAAATTAAAAATTATTATTATTATTATTTTTCAAAACAAGCTGCCAGGTCCAGGACTTGAACCATGGTCAGCCATGTGGGAGTCCAGCACCCCCAGCCACCTGCCAGCCCCTCTTATTTTTTAAAGGGACCAGCAGATGGTGTAATGGTTCCATCGCTGGGCTCCCACATAGTTGGGTGCAGGACTCAAACTGAGTGGCTTGAAAAACACGCTAGGAGTGTGTGCATGCGTATTCAAAATCCCGAAAGGAGATTGGAGGAGAAGGGATTGTGGTGTGGCCATCCCCCTGGGGGGTGATTTTTCACTTTCTGTCTCTGTGAGTCTCCAATGAGTACACGTGCCCTATAACAAGAACCTCTCTCAGAAAAAAGAACTCAATAAGAGAAATGTGTCACACGTGGAAATAAAAATGACGTCAAACTTATCAAAAGAAGCTAGAATGGAAATTTGCAAATTTCTGATACTTTTTTCGTATGAGAATCTGATTCCCAAACTATCTCTTAAGAGTTTGAGGATTAAAATAAAGATATTTTCAGACATGCAAAGACTCAAACTCAGACTCCTATATGTTCTTTCTTAGGGAGTTCGTGGAGGTTATTCATCATACAGAGGAGTAAACCAAGTGAAAGGAAGCCATGGCCCAGGGCACTGGGGAGAGGGAATGGGCAATTCCACCATCCGGGTAGCAGATTTAGACAATGGTGTCAGGAAGATTGTCTTGAAAACACGAATTGGATAGGTTTGGACCAGGCGAATAATTATACGAAGAGGCTATTGAAAGGCTTGGAAACTATTGGGTGATCAGAAAAGTCATGACACATTTTTGCATAGAGAAATGTAGAAAAATATGTCATGACTTTTCCGACAACCCTATAATTATTGGCAGGCCCAAAGAAAAATACACGAATGAAAAAAATGAGGTGATTTATCTTTGTCACACAAATGAATACTTCAGAACAAGCATACATTGAAAAGTTCTTGTCAGTTTCAGTGACACTGCAGCTGGCAGTATTTCTTTTTACTCCATTAAAACCATTTAATGGGAGCCAGCAGGTGGTGTGGAGGTTAAGGTGGCTGGATCCCACGTGGTGAACTACAAAGTTTGAGTCCTAGATCTGGCAGCTTGAAAATCACACCGGGCATATGTGTATGCATGCCCAAAATCCGAGAGGAGGATGGAGGAGAAAGAACTGTAGCATAGCCATCCCTCCTGGGGAGTGATTTCTCACTTTCCCTTCACCCTTTCTTTTTTCCTGTCTCTGGCAAGCACATGTGCCCTATCGCAAAAAAAATTAAAAACAAAGAAACATTTAATAGAAGTAAAAAGAAAAGGATGAAGGGGGCACCCGGATTTGAACCGGGGACCTCTTGATCTGCAGTCAAATGCTCTACCCCTGAGCTATACCCCCATGACTTACTAGGGCTCTCTTCCTTGTCCACTTATGGTGACTCAATAGAACCAAGTTCCACCCACAGAGTTCTGGCACGCTTTGTGTTCTAAGGCTCCACCTCTTTTTCTATCTGTCATCTGCTTTGGCTTTTCTCCTGGCCACCAATAAACTGGGTGGGGACACTTGAAAAATGACATCTTGGAAACTAGCTGACATAAGCAGATAGTGTCCACAATCACAGTATTACTGTGTCAGAATCCTTGGGCTAAAAAGTAACCCAGACATCATCTTGTTCACACCCTGCCTCAAATGAATTGAGGGCAGAAAAGAGAAGGATGATGTCAGTTCTTTCGGATGGGATGGCTCTATCAGGAATGTAAGGAAATCCCCAGGGCAACCAGGGCTAGCTCTGTGACCATCATGGATTGGAAACGAGCCAGCCTCTGACCTGGGGCCCTGGGGAAGTAAGTGCTTTGTCCAGGGTTAAGGAGCGTGGTTCTTATCACTCCTCCAGGGGAGAATCGAGGCCTCTACCCCTCAGCCTGGTACGCAGTGGCAGAGAGCGCAAGAACATAGGCCCAAGAAGCCCTTCTCTTTCACCTCCTCTCCAGAAGGTAGAAAAGCTGAGTGTGGAGAAACTATTGATAGCTTACCTCTTAACCTCAGGAAAGGAAAAACACACTTGGAGACACAAATAAACTTTTTTAATATATATAAAATGACATTGACATTGAGAGTGCATCTAAACATCTGCCTTCGAAATTCAGGTCGAGTGCTGTGATGGGAAGAGATGCTATTAGAAGAGAGGGAATTGGGTGACCTCACCAAAGACAGATGGGCGCTGGCGGAGGGCCGGGGTGTTCCTGCGGTAGCCAAAACGGCCATTGAAGCCCTTGATCAGTTTCAGATCGGCATTGTAGTAGTCATGCCCAGTCACCTGCTGGAGGGAATGCCCTGAGGGCGGGGGCAGAGGACTGAGTCACTCACTGCCTTCCTCACTCCCACTGGGCTGGTATGGGAGCTGAACTCTCAATCCTCAAATATCCTAAGCCTCTTGACTGAAAAGCCAAAGGTTGGGAAGATCAAGGAAAAGAAGCCTTCCTCTAAATCAAACTCCACACCAGGAATAGCTGCAGGAAGATCCTGAATGTTATGTGCTGGGAGAGAAGGGGCCAGAAACTTCTGGGCTAGGTAGCACTTGCCTTGCTCCCAAAAGTGAGAAAATCTCACCCTTGCCTCTGACCCACATCTGCAGAAAATGCACAAGATAGATTTGGCCGAGTGGTGCGAAGGATCACATGACTGGAGCATGGCCAAAGTGTGGTGGAGTTGGGGTGGGAGAAAAGCCTCAGCTCTCTCTTTCCCGTTGTTGCTAAGTCAGGGCTGGAAAACAAGCAGGACAGGGCCTGCTCTGGGAGCACACAGGGGTGAGA